GGCAACTTCGCGGGGCCCCCTGGGCCCTACACGCGCTAAATGATTTGAAGAGCATGGCTCGCGTTGGGGAAGGGCCAGCGCTATTAGTTGCTATGGGGCATGTACATCTATATGGTTCCCAAGAGGCTCGTTGCCAGCAGCTTCGCAAGTCAAGCTTCACTCAGCTCCGCAGCGCGCATTGGGAAGAGCAAATCGGCGAGACTGGGAGGAGGAGGGCGGGGGGGGGCTGGAGGAGCACCTCAAGGAGGGGCAGCAGCAGGACCTCAAGACCCCGCTCCCGAACCCCTTCCTCGAGGTTGGCGACGCACCGAAACGAAAAACGACGGTGCAGAGCGCGGGTCTGAATTTCATGATCAGCAGGGGCGGCATGTTCATACGCAGTTTTGTATTAAGGGCAGCCACGGGCATCGAGCTTCATCGCAGCTTCTCACCGTTACCAACCAGTGCCTTTGGTGCATGAGTCCACATTCGACCGCTGCGATTCCTCGACAGCATGTTCGACGATTGTTTTTTTTTTGCGGAGAACTTGCCAGTGCGATCGAAGACCGATTCGTCATGAGCTGATTTTGCCACCAACCTTTGAATGTCCTGCCTGTAGTGTTGGTCGTCCGTCGCTTGTGGCTCTCCAGCGGCAGATTCGTGCGCACATTGACCTGTCTGACGCCACCTTCTCCTTCGCTGTTCCCGACGGCGGGGTGGGTGATGCCGTTGGAGGCGGCGGATGTCCACAAGGCGAGGATGCGTCTGGCCGAGATCTCCCCGACGACCTTGACCGCTGGGGGCAGCGGCAAGCCGCGCGCACGAGGCACGAAGGAGCCACAACGTCAACGAAATCCTTCCAGCGCCACCGCCGCAGCCGCAGCGCCTACAGACGACAGCGACCTTTCGGAGGCGAGCCACGCGGCGATCGGCGCCGCCCAGAAGTACAGCGACACGACCATGGAGAATCCATCAGATCCTGGCCACGGACCACCCAGCCTGCATGTCGCGAACGCAGTGTTGCAGACGTTAGTGGACCAGGCCACCTTCAATGTGAATCTCACGCTGCAGGATCATGTGAAGGTCGTCACCGCACTCACCGAGGAGATGAAGTCGGCCTACGTGCAGGAAGGCGCGCCGCCTCTCGTTCGCCGCACGTTTTCCGTCAATGCATAGGTTCAAGGAGTCGTGGGAAGAGGCCTGATGATGCCAATGAATTCGATCATCATGATTCCTCTGTTGGACCTCGGGAGCGCACCGAAGGTAGCCCCCCCCCTCCCCCCCGAAAATCACCCAAGAGCGCCGAATCCAGAATTCTTTGGAGAAGATGCTCCGCAGGAGCCGCATCAAGAAGGCCTTGTAGAGCTTAGACCCACCTCTTCTCCTTCCTCTGTGAGGCCTCCTCCTCCTCCTCCTCCTCCTCCTCCTCCTCCTCGCGGGCCTCCCTGCGTTATTGGATCGGTCTCGGGGCGCAGAAGGGTGCCGTTGCAGGCGGGGTGGGGCCCTCTGGTGCGTCCCAAGAGCCGAGGTAAGCGCAAGGGTCGTGGGAAGAATTCTGGAAAAAGCTGTCGGTTAATAGTTGCGCCCACGAGACCCAGATGTTCGACGGGAATTCGATTGTTGAGTTTTGTTTTGTGCGAGGCCAGCGCCTCGCCTACTTTTGGGGTGAGGGGTGGTTCAGAGTTCATCCGCCTTCGCTGCTTCCCCCCCTGGCCGCCGTTGTGTCCTTTTTTCCTCTTCGCGTCTCCCCGAATCGGCGCAGTTAGTTAAATCCGTTTTGTTGCGCTTTTGAACTGGCCTGGTTGGACTCCTTCCCCTCTTGTGCCCTGCCGCCGCCGTCCTGGTTGCCGTCTTGTTCCTATTGTCCACACTGCGCCCCGAGAAGACGTTGAAGCTATAGTAGCTGCACAGACAGGCTTCTCGACCTTGTGTTGCAATCACGGAGTCCCCATGCTGATTGTTGGGGCAAGGGCTCCCATGCGTTTGACATCGGTGGGAAACATAGCGTCTTCGACCGCCCGGCGGCCATTCTGCTGAGGAAGTGGACAGGATTGGCCATATGCTAATTGCTAGCGGGCGAGCCTCCTCCTCCTCTTCCTCCTCCTCCTCCTCCCGCTCCTCCCTCCTCCCATGCATGCCTCTCTCTGCCTTCTGCATCCTCCTGCCCTTCCTCCCTCCTCCCATGCGAGCCTCTGCCCTCCGCATGTCTATCTCGGCACACCCCTCACACGGTTCGTTGCCCCATAGGGAGCTCCACCGAGGGCCTTAGGCCCTAGTGGCTGTGTTCGCATGCGGTTCCACCGCCACTCCGGCACACCCCTCACACGCTTCGTTGTCCCGTCGGGAGTTCCATCGAAGGCCGTTGCATTCGCATGCTGTTCCACCCCCATTTCGGCACACCAGTTCACACGTTTCGTGGTTCCCATATGGAGCCCCACCCAAGCCCCCAGCGGCTGCGTTCGCATTCGGTTCTACCCCCATTTCGGCACACCCCTCACACGTTTTGCGGCCCCATAGGGAGCTCCACCACAGGCCTGCGGCTGCGTTTTCATGCGGTGCCACCCCCCATTTCGGCATACCCCTCACACGTTTCGTGGCCCCACAGGGAGCTCCATCGAAGGCCCTTGTTGTTGCGTTCGGCACACCCCATCACACGTTTTGTAGCTCCCATCGGAGCTCCGCCAAAGGACCCAGTGGCTGCATTCGCATGCGGTTCCACCTCCATTTCGGCACAACCCTCGCACGTCTCCTGGTTCCCATAAGGAGCTCCACCGAAAGCCCCAGTGGCTGCGTTCGCATGCGGTTCGGCCCCCATTTCGGCAAACCGCTCACACGGTTCGTGGCCCCACAGGGAATTCCACCGACGGTTCCAGTGATTGCGTTCGCATGCGGTTCCACAGACATTGCGGCACACCACTCACACGTCTTGTGGCCCGATAGGGAGCTCCGCCGAGGACCCAGTGTTGCGTTCGCATGCGGTTCCACAGACATTGCGGCACACCACTCACACGCTTCGTGGCCCCATAAGGAGCTCCACCGAAGGCCCCAGTGGCCCCAGCGGCTGCGTTCGCATACGGTTCCACCCCCATTTATGCACACCCCTCAGTTTTGTTGCCCTATAGGGAGCTCCACCGAAGGCCCCAGTGGCCCCAGCGGCTGCGTTCGCACACGGTTCCACCCCCATTTCGGCACACCTCTCACACGTTTTGTTGCTTTATAGGGAGCTCCACCGAAGGCCCCAATGGCTGCATTCGCATGCGGTTCCACCTAGCACACCCCTCACACGTTTCGTGGCCCCACAGGGAGCTCCACCGAAGGCCCCAATGGCTGCGGTAGCATGCGGTTCCACCGCCATTTCGGCATACCCCTCGAACGTTTCGTGGCCCCCATAGGGAGCTCCACCGAAGGCCCCAGTGGCTGCGTTCGCATGTGGCTTGGTAGCTCCATCGAAGGAAATAACAATAATTCGGGTACTTACATCTGCATATGGTTGGGTCCTTCGCCAGGACAATGCGTCCAACATCCGCCCGCTGGAGGATATCCCCGACCTAATGCAACGCACGGAATGATTTCAATGAAAACAATGTTCGCTGCACCGGATGGAAGGAAGTCCATGGAAACAATTGCTTTGCGCAAGGTCGGCCACAGCTGGTGAGTCCCTGCTCCCCTTTGGGGATGGCTGCCTCTTGCTGCGAGTATAACGGCCGTCGCCGGCCGAGGGACGGACGCAGAGCGTTGGAAGGACGCGCCGACACCCACCGAGAGTGCGTTGGGGCCGCTTTCGGCTGCAAGAGGGGGGGGCGGGGGGGGGGGGGAAAGAGGCGAGGAGGGCCACCGACGGGGTGCTCGAGGGTCGAGGGTCGACCAGGAGCGCGGACAGGCAATCCTCAGGGTCGACAGGGTCGATCAGGAGCGATCAGGAGCGTCGATCAGGGTCGATCAGGGTCGGGCATCGATCAGGAGCGTCGGACATCCTCACGGCGTGGTGCAATCACGACGGAAGGCTTTTGGTAATGCTCGGCCTCGGAAAAAAACGGTTTTTTATTCATTGTTTTGCCGATCGGCGCGAGCCCTCGCCACCCCCCTCCTCCCCCCCCGCCATGGAGTGGATCTTGGCTGTTTTTGGTGCCTGTTTCGAGCAGGTGGGGACCTCCCCCAGAGGCAGCACTGTTGCAAACAGTCGCACTAAGCAGAGGTCCGGAGCCAGACCCCTCCCCCGCCCCTGCCCCCCCCCCCTTCCGCACAATGTCGAAACGCCGAATAAAAAAACGCTCACATGGACGGGTGGTGAAGAAAGGTGCTCTTTTGCATTTTTCGGGGCACTGAAGGGGCCCTGGGGCCTATAAAAGGGGCACGCGAGGTGCAAGATTTCTTCGCAGCCCTCCTCCTCCGCCTCCTCCTCCTCCTCCTCCTCCCCCATGAAGCACCCCCCCACAGACTTCTGGTGAGCCACGCTGTGGAAAAAGCGCACGGCGTCGGACGCATGGATATAGTTCTGCTTGCGTTGGTCCCGCAGCGGCGACGCGAACATCGAGAGGTCTGGTCTGCTCGTGTAAAAAACGCTGGCGGGACCGTTCGGCCCATGCATCCTGGATGGCATGACGGTATAAGATGTTAGTGACATAGTGACAACGTTTCTGTCGGACGTGAGTGTCCGTAGACGCGCTAACGGCAATGTTGATAACGGCGATGTAGGTTTCGGCATTGTAGGTGGGATTGGTTCGTGGCCAAACCAATTGTAGGACATGGTGGTTCGTGCTTTCCTACAAATCCCTGCGTCGCGTTCGCTCGATACACTCACACATTTGAAATGTAGAAAGTGTGCGTCGTGATGTCCTACAGTTTGTTCTGCGCGAGTTCGTGGTCACAAGAACCATATTCCCAACATCGCCGCTAACGAACATCGCCGTTAGCCCGGCCCTCGAGTATCCTAGAGACGCATACCGTACTAGTATGTCTACCTGCGTTCCACAGGGGTTGGCTCGGGGTCTTTTGGCTCTTTTGGCTCGGTCTCTTTCGTACTAGTATGTTCAGCTGCGGCCCACAGGGGCTGGCTCGGTGTCCGTCACCATTTTGGCTCAAGGATCAAATAGTAGACAAGATGGTCTGCCCAATCGCCGAGGCCGCCCAGCGCCAATGGAAACGCCGGCGGCTGCCTGCGTCGAAGGCTTGCGCGAGTCGCAGTTGTTGCCTGCGAAGGTGCACGAGATCGAATTCGCGGAGTTGCGAAACAACATTCGCAAGGATACAATTTGCTACCTCCAGCCCACCGTCCTCAAGATCGTGGGGCTAGAGAAGGACCTTCTCGGCCTCAAGCAGCAGGTGGGAAATATTACCACCAGGGTGAACGACGTGTGCAAGGTCGTCGAGCAGGAGGAGATCACGCTCGCACAGCTGAGCTGCTTCCAGGTCGAGATGCTACGACGGGATGACGCAGGCACGGCGCTCCGCACGAAGCTGGCCGAAGATGTGCAACTCGTTCGGGCCAGCATGGAGTCCCTCAGGCAGGAGGCGCAGGAGCAGCGCGCTGCGCGGGATGGAATGAAGCAGCAGTTCGACATGATGGTGGACGACGTGGACAAGGGCGTCCGCGACATTGCGGCGATTCGCCAGCGGCTGCTGGAGCTGCGTTCGCAGTGCGCCGCCGACGCGGGCACGCTCATGGAGGCGCTGGACGAGAAGATCGAGATGTTGGGATCCCGCCACAGCCAGCTGGTGGATGACCACAACGGCCACAGTGCCTACATCACCCAAGCGCTGGTGGAACGTACTACCCTGACGCACACAATGGCCGAGCACAGGCAGGACATCGACAGGCTCTGCGACTCGAAGGTCGACGCGGAGGAGTACCGCGCCGAGCGCGGCCGCGCGGCGGACATGACGAAGGCGCTGGAGGATCGTCTGGGGTCACTGGACCGCAAACTCGCCAAGCTTGACGGCGCCCTGGAGGAGCGGGTCCGCTCGGCCAACAACGCCTCCGCCGCACGCACAGCGGCCCTGCTAAGGGAGGTGCGCGGAGACCACCAGAGCGAGCTGGCACTCGCAAGACAGGCGCGGGAGCACCTCGAGGGCTACCTGGCCACCGCCAGGGAGGATATCGCCTGCCTCCAGCGCGGCATGGCCGACCTGGAGAGCCACACTGGGCAGGCGCTGAGGACACTCGGGGACGGCGCCGAGGCCGCCGTGAGGCGCATGCAGCTCGACCACACCGCGACCAGCGCCGAGGTGCGGACCGCGCAGGCCGGTTTTGCCGAGTCGGTTCATGCTTCGGGTGCCCTCGCGGCGCGCGTCGACCAACTCGGTCGAGCCATGTGGATGCTGCTCCAGAGCGGCCGCGCCACCTCCGTCCTCGACCCGACTGGCGACCACGGCGAACCGGGCCGCAGCCCGTCCCCAGCGGTGGGGCGCACCACGCCGCCTTGGCAGGAGGCGATCTCGGCCCCCCCGAGCCGCCCCGGCTCGGCCGCGCGTGCCGCTGGCGCCACATCGCGCCAGCGCTCCTCCTCGCTGGCGGGCAGCCGGCCTCAGAGCGGCCGCACGCCTGGCTCCTCGGCACCCAGCCGCCCTCAGAGCGGCCTTGCCGCGGCGGCAGCCGCAGCTCCACGGGAAGCTCCCAGCACAGTGTGCACCAGCTGTGGTGGCCGCGTTCCCTGTCAGCATGTGTTTTTCGAGGGCCGGGCCTATGCCAGATCCCAGGTGGCAGAGCTGAGAGCTCGATGGCTGGACCAAGCCCACGCAGCACTCCAACACTGCCCGCCCTTGCCAGCCGGCGCCGCCAAGCGGGCCGCGGCCAGCGGCAAGGGAGGCCGCGGGGCGGAGCCGGAGCTGGGCGGGCCCCCCGACGCGGAGAGCGCCTTGCCGCTGATCGCCTCTGGAGCGAGCATTTCGCGAGCTACCGCACCGCCTGCCCCGCTGAGCGCGCGGTGAGTGGAGGCGGTTCGGGCGCACTGTCAGAGCGTTTGCCACGTGCTGGACGCAGCCATCTCTGGATTGTAGGCTAGGGCGGCACGACAGGAGAGAGGAGGCCGCACGAAGACAAAACAAACAAAAAAAACAGAGGCTGGCTCAGGGAAGGACCATCGACCCGCAAGTGGTCGATTCCTCGACGAGCGGGACCCGGGTGGGGCTCCGCGGGGGGGCTCCCTGCGTGGAGCGCTTGGTCCTCCTCCTCCTCCTCCTCCTCCTCCTCCTCCTCCTCTTCCTCCTTATCCCCCTCCTCCTTATCCCCCTCCTCCTCCCTCTCCTCCCCCCTCTCCTCCTCCTCCGCCTCCTCCTCCTCCTTCTCCTCCTTTTCCCCCTCCTCCTGCCCCTCCTCCTCCTCCTCCTCCTCCTCCTCCTCCTCCTCCTCCTCCTCCTCCTCCTCCTCCTCCTCCTCCTCCTCCTCCTCCTCCTCCTCCTCCTCCTCCTCCTCCTCCCCCTCCTCCCCCCTTCTTCCCCTCCTCCTCCTCCTTCTCCTTCTCCTTCTCCTCCTCCTCCTCCTCCTCCTCCTCCTCCTCCTCCTCCTCCTCCTCCTCCTCCTCCCCATCGTGCGCTCACCGCCGATGTATGTGCGACGCATCGTCGACTGCAGGCCAGCGCCTTCCCCCACAGCCACTCCCGTTCTCGGCTCTCATCAGCGCCGTCTTCAGGATTGAGGTTTTTAGATTAAGTTTCTTCGCTTCGCCATGGGGGTCCCTCCACAGGCCCGTCTTGTCACCAGAACACGGCTCGGGATGAAATGTTGGTCCTGGGGGGAAAGCCTCGGTGCCCAGGAACCAGTTCCTTCAGGACACATTTGTTTTGGCCAGATTCGCGAGTCAGTTGCGTGCGGCTGTTTTTTGTTCTGGCGCCTCCTGGCGCCAGGGAAGGCCATGGAAAGGCAATTGTGGTCAGCATCGAAGCGACAGGTCGGGTCTGACCAGAGCACCCTGCAGGATCCAGGACACGTTTCCCTCAGGACCCATTTGTTTTAGAGTCTGTGTTTAGTTACCCTCTGGGCCATAACGCGCGTTCTGCCCCCCTATCCCCCTCTCTCCGCCCCCACAACGGAACGCCCCCTTTCCCATCCCAGTGCGTCCCCAGAGCTGCCGCAGTGCGTCTGGACCAACAGACTGTGGTGCCCGCGCCGGACCCACACGGCGTGGGGCGGGACGCTATATGATGCCCCCCCTCAAGCCGCATGCGGTGGTAATCCCAAGCGACTGGGTGTAATCCCAACCAACTGGGGGCAATCCCAATCAGCGAAACGACAAATTGAAGGTAAGTCCAACCATCTGTTTTAATTGCCGAATAACTCCACACGAGGGTTTTAAGTGTGAAGCAATGTTCAGATGTTCCTGAAAAAACAATTGGCCAGCTTGCGTGCGCACATTTATTCGAGTAGGCAACATGGCTGCCCCAGTTGGAAGTGCACCCAAAAAGCCTTGCGGTGATGTGGGTCTCACGACGTGGACACGGATGGTGGTGTGTGCGGCTTGTGTGGTGTGTGCGGTGTGTGCGACGTGTGCGGTGTCCGCTGTGTCTGCGGTGTGTGCAGTGTGTGTGTGTGTGTTGTGGTGTGTGTTGTGTGTGTTGTGTGTGTGTTGTGTGTGTTGTGTGTTGTGTGGTGTGTGTTGTGTGCGTGTGCGTGTGTGCGTGTGTGCGTGTGTGTGTGCGTGTGCATGTGCGTGTGCGTGTGCGTGTGCGTGTGTGTGTGTGTGTGTTGCGTGTGCGGTGCGTGGGGTGTGTGCGGTACGTGCGGTGGTGCCGTGTTGTATGGTGCACCCTATGATCGATCATATGACACTACTTGTGACGTACCGGCGAACATCATTTCTTATTGGTCTTAAAATACTATTATGGTTCAGCATTGGGCACACGTGAAAATGTCATATGATATTATGTATGGTGCGCCATGTGATACGACCTATGACGTGTCACATGGTATTCGATGTGATGTCTCGTACGGCGATACTACTCATCAAGCATCATATTACTTATTATGGGGTATCAAGTGTACCGTGTCACATGGTATTGTCTACGCAGTGTTATGGGATATGATATATGATGTGTCATAGTGTACTACTTAGGCTGTAGCTAACGCTACAGCATACGACCAATAATATGGGATATCCCATGCTGCATCACATGACACTCCATACGACGTGCCATGTGGTTACACCCATGGAGTGACATGTGATGAATCCGATGATGTCTCCTACGATACGACTTAAGATACAGACCGTGCTCAACCATAGGATGTACCATATGAGACAACCGAAGATGTGTCATACGTATTACTCGTGCGACATCATCTGTCACAACCGATGTCGCGTGATATGCTACCAGCTAGCATGCATCGTGTGATACTACCAATGGCATGTAGTTTGAAACCACAGCTGGCGTATCATGCGTGGGACGGGGGGGAAACAAGAGTGATAAGAGGAATATAAGGTTTCAGGAAGAGGGAGAAGAGGGGTAGAAGGGCGAAGAGAAACACTAAGGGTTGGAAGAACCAGTGGGGTAGGAGGGATACGGGGAACCAATTCGGTTTTTTGAAGGATGTGGGCGTTTTCGTTTTTGTTCGGCTCCCCCACGCTCCCACACGGCCCAAAAAGGCTTCAAGATCGCCCCACGACCGTCCAGGAGGCCTCCAAGAGAGCCCCAAAACGGCCCAAGAGGCCTCCAAGAGAGCCCCCATCAAGTCCCCAGGTGGCCCCAAGAGGCCCCCAGGAAGCCCCCAAAAGGTTCCCAAGAGGACCCCAAACTGCCCTCCAGAGGCCCCCCAAAGAGACCTCAAGGCGCATCCCTGAAGACTCTGACCCACGACCCAGGCACGATGGCGGAACTTGCCGCAGGCAGCTGGATCTCTGCTTTTCCCCCCCCCCCCCCCCTGGTAAACCGCAACGCAAAATAAACAAACACATTGTGATTGGTGTTCATCTTTCTTCTCCTCCTCCTCCTCCTCTTCCTCCTCCTCTTCCTGGCCCCCCTGTTCCTCCTCCTCTTCCTCCTCCTCCTCTTCCTCCTCCTCCGTTTCTTCCTCCTCCTCCTCCTCCTCCTCCTCCTCCTCCTCCTCCTCCCCCTCCTGGGCCCCCCAGGTGCGCCGTCCTGCCCGCGGGACGTTGGTGACCCCAAGACGACGAGGACGACGAGGGCGGACAACGACGAGGAGGGAGGGAGGAGGGAAGAGGAATGTGACGACGACGAGGAAGGAGGGAGGAGGACAACGACGAGGAAGGAGGGAGGAGGAAGGAGGGACCACGACGAGGAAGGAGGGAGGAGGGAGGAGGGAGGTGGAAAGGAGGGGGGGGGTCTGCCATTCCTCCTCCAATCCTGAAGCACGCAAAGATGGCGCAAGGCCACCAACGCACGCCACGCATCATACTCGAGCGTCCTCCACTCCCCCGCCTCCGACGACGACGACGACGATGATGAACAACGAGGAAGGAGGGAGGGGGAGGAAAAGTTCGACGAAGCCTTTAATAAGCCTCTCAGAATCCTCGCAGAAGCCTCTTATAAGCCTCTCAGAATCCGCGTAGAAGCCTCTTCGTAAGCCTGGCAGAAGCTTCTCATAAGTTGTTCATGAGCTTCTCATAAGCTTCTCAAGAGCCTCTCAACAGCTTCTACTAGTGTTCTGAAGCTTCTCAAGAAGAAAAGCCTGTATATATCTCGGGCGGTTGGAACTACACCCATGTTGGTTGGGATACGCACCGAAGTGGTTGGAATTTCGTCTAGATGGTTGAAATTGCCTCCACTGCCCCACTTTCTCGTCGCGAATATGAAGATGCAAGGGCGCCCTGGAGGGCGCGAAGTTATTCACGCTTCGCGGTTCGGTTCCGATTCCTCCTCATCCTCTTTTTCTCCCTTGGAAGGCGGCGCGAGAGCGCGAAGTTTTTCGCACTTCGCCCTTCGCGCAGCGCGAAGCGCGAAGTTGGGAGCCCTTGTTTATCGTCGCGCATATGAAGATGTGTTCCTTCGCGGCAGTCTCTGGGCGTCTCCATCCCCGCTTGGCCGTGAACTCCCACCGAGGGGGGCTTCCGCAGGCGGGCGCCCAGCTCCGAGAGGCTCGAGGGTATGTCCAGGCTCCTGGGAGTTCTCGGCGCCGGGAGGCCGCCGTGAACCTCCGAGCGCTTCCGGGGGGGGGGCGTTTCTTGTACGTTAGACCCCAGACTCAAGCAGTGGCGAAGCGTCCAGGCTCGCCTGTAGCCCTACCAAGCAATGTTCTAAGAACTTTTGTGGTTTCTACGAAATGTTCTTAGAACATGTTCTGGCTAGGCCTGTCTTGCTTTATCACATCGGGTTTATGTTCTAAGAACATTGTTTTTTGTTATTCGAACAGTTTTGGGTTCTACGAGCATTTCGTGGTAGGATTATAGGAATGCTGGGACGGTAGGTCCCTGCTCAATTCCAGGGGGCGCGTTTTTAACGTTAGACACCAGACATGTATTTTACATGGCAGTTCCCCCCCCCCCGCCGCCTCTTCGGGCAGCTCTGCACCAGAAAGGCGTCGAAGTGTTTCGGGCCTCGCCCTCTCCTCCTCCCCTCCATGTAAGCACACCTGGCGCGCCTCCAGCTCGAGAGGCGCCAGGATCGAGGATCCAGGTTTTGCTGGATGATCTCGGGCCTTCCTGGGCCTCCGGGGAACTCCAGAGGATTCTGGAGCCTCTGAAGAAGACTTCCAGTAGGCCCCCCGCGAGGCTATCGGCTTTCGGGCGTCGCGGTCAAAAGCAGCTGCGGTGTTTTGCAACCTCGGCCTCTGGGGGCCGCGTTTGGGTTCCCGAGCCGTCTCAAAGCGATCCGCGACGAAGCGTCCGACACATGCCACCTCACCCATTTCATTCGTCCAGCCGTCCGTCCGTCACTCCGTCCGCCCATCCATCCTTTCAGCCGTCCTCCTTCTGTTCTTCCCACCTCCGAAAGCAGGTGAAGTCATCCATCTTGTTCCTACCGTGTTCCTCATCCATCTCCCTTTTCTGTGTCATCCTCCTTCTCTCTCATTGTCCTCCTCCCTCTTCTACCTGCTGCTGGTCCCTGGCCCTTTCCCGCCTCTCGCTCCATTCCTCCGTTCCTGCATCCTCATCCCTCCTCCCCCTCTTCATCCCTTTCCATCCCAGTCTCCCCCCACGCATCCTCCCTCCTGCCTGTGCACCTCCCTCTCCTCCCTCCGACATCCCCTTCCTCCCCTCCCGCCATTCGCCCTCTCCTCCTCCCCACTGATCCCACGCTCCCTCACCTTCCACCCAACCCTCCCTCCCCATGTCTCTTTCGCCCATCATTCCTCCCTCTCCCTGATCCTCATCCTGCCTCCTCATTGTCCTATTCCTCTCACCCCATCCCTCCTCCCCATCCCCCTCCCCTGAGGTCCGACATCACGAAAGAATTACATCATCGTAAAAAACAACCAGAGCGCTGGACCCCATCTTTCTGCTGCACGCTCCGAGCCAGACCGACCCGTGGTCCTCGAGGGCCCTGGGGCCCGAAACGGGGCAAAATCGCCCGCCGTGGAAGCATTGCGACGCCAGGCTCCCAGGGTCCCTTCCCCTTCCCTCTATACATCCCTCCTCGTCGTTGTTTTATCCCCCTCCTCCTCCTCCGCCTCCTCCTCCTCCTCCTCCTCCTCCTCCTCCTCTTCCTCCCCCTCCTCCTCCTCCTCCTCCTCCTCCTCCTCCTCCTCCTCCTCCTCCTCCTCCTCCTCCTCCTCCTCCTCCTCCTTCCTTGACGCCGTCGCCGCCGGCGCTCCCCCCCTGCACGCAGGCTGCTCGCGGGCCCCCTCCGGAGCGCGCTGGCGGACCTGCGGCGGGCCAGGAGGGGCCCCATTCTAGCAACGGGGGAGCAGGGAGAAGCGGGGAGGGGGGGCGGGGAGGGGAGGGAGGGAGGAGGCGAGGAGGAGGAGGAGGAGGAGAAGGAGGGGGAGGATGTGAAGGAGGAGGAGGAGGAGGAAGGAGGAGGAGGAGGAGGAGGAGGAGGAGGAGGAGGAGGAGGAGGAGGAGGAGGAGGAGGAGGAGGAGGATAGGGAGAAGAAGGAGGAGGAGGAGAGGAGGAGGAGGAGGGTGGAGGAGGAGGAGGAGGAGGAGGAGGAGGAGGAGGAGGAGGAGGAGGAGGAGGAGGAGGGGGCAGGGGGAGCGGGGAGGGGCGGGGAGGTGAGGGAGGAAGCAGGAGGGGAGGCGAGGGGCGAGGAGGGGAAGGGAGGGAGGAGGGAGGAGGAGCAGGTCCAGGCCCCCTCGGAATATGGAAAGATCACGGAAGGAGTTGTCGTTGCCATTTCCGCCTCCGAGGATCCTGGCCAGGCCCCAGGACTGTCAAAAAGCGACTCGGGGTGTAAGGCGGTCCCGGGGAATGGGTCGCGACCTTCGGGATCCGATGTTGCGAGAAAAGTCACGACGTCAGGGGGGTCTGGGAGGGAGGATCGAGGAGGAGCAGAGGCTGCTCGCACGGCGGCCTCCTCGTGGCTGTTGCCTGCTGTTGCCGCATGAGCGGGAGGAGCGGAGAGGGGGGAGAGGGGCGGGACAAGCGAGGCGCGCTCGCGCCATATGTGACATCCGACCCCACCCGCCCATCCCTTCCAATTGGGATCAGCTTTCTCTGTCCGCGCACGCGTGCCATAGCAGACCTGGAGCCCCCCCAAAAGACCTCATCGTGTTGACTCGCAGCCGGGAATGGGGGAGCTGCGGACATAGGAGGAGGGAGGAGGAGGAGGAGGAGGAGGAGGAGGAGGAGGAGGAGGAGGAGGAGGAGGAGGAGGGGAAGGAGGAGGAAGAGGAGGAAGAGGAGGTGGAGGAGGAGGAGGTGGACAAGGAGAAGAGGAAGGAGGAGGAGGGGGAGGAGGAGGGGGGGAGGGAATGAAAAGGGAGATAGAAGTGGCAGAGAGAAGAAGTGGGTTGGAGGCCCCTGTGACCGTGTGGTCTGGCTGCGCTGGGCCCTCTTGTGGCCAGTGCCCTGGGGGCGCCGAAGGGTCCCGCTCCGCAGAGGTGCCCGCGCTGGTCAGAGGCGTGGGGTGTGGGGACATGGGCAACGGCCGCAGGTGGTGTGGCTGCGCCAGGTCCTCTTGCGGCCAGTGCCCTCGGGGCGCCCAAGGGTCCCCCTCCGCAGAGGTGCCCGCGCTGGTCGGAGGCGTGGGGTGGGGAGATGGGCAACGGCTGGTGTACAAAATGGACAAGGTGATCGTTTTCGTATTCGTTGTTTTGACGGAGACCAAGCGCCGAGCCGACAATGAGGCCCACGAAGCAGCAGCAGCTGGAACCCGAGGGGTGGGCAGATCAGACAGTGGAGCATGCTCCATCGCACTGAGGCGAACGATGCCACACATCGGCGACATCGTCAGCGGAGGCCCACGCGTGGGCCGATCCACGGCCCCGCGCAGGAAGCTCCACTCTGGCAGCACATCCCGCTGCCACAGGGCTGCCTGCACGCCAGCCGCACCACGGCCCGCGCCAGGCAGGGGCAGCGTCCCGCTGCAGAAAAAGCAGGCACGCCTAGCCGAGAGGCTCCTACCCGCGTGATCCGCCCGACGCTGGCCACACCACGGCCCGCGCCAGGCAGAGGCAGCATCCGGCTGCACAGCGTGAGCGCCAGACGAGGAGCTCCCCGAGAGCCTGGCCCTCGCCGTGCCACGCCGCCGGAAGCGCCTCGACCACCGGGGACGCCTTCCAGCGCCTTCTGCACGACGGCCTGGATGGCCATCACCGCCTCCGACGGGGCTCCGCCCACGAGGCCCACCGTGAGCGACTGGACGAGGTCGCCCTCCGCGCCGCCGCCGTACTCCTTGGCACCAGCAGCGCTGCGACCAGCAGTCGTAAGCCCAAATCGCTGCACCTCGCTGCCAAGAGCAGCCGCTCCCTTCTCGGCCCCAGGCGTGGTGGCGCCAGCAGCCGTCTCGTGGCCTCCAGCAGCCCGAGACGTCCTGGGTGCCAGGAGCGCTGGCACCGGCAGCCTTCTTGCCCTGGCCTTTGCTGCCGCCCGCAGCCATCTTGCCTCCACCTCTTGCCTTGAACCTCTGCTCCTGGCCATGAGGGTTCACCACCACTCGGGAGGGACAAAAACACACATACAGACACAAGTAATCGTCGAGCCCCCAGAAAATATAGGAAAAGATGGAAAGTGGGGGGGAAGACGAAAACCCAGAAAATAGTGGACAATAGAAGGAGTCCTGTTATTTGTGTGTGTATTTATTTGTGTGTCCCAGGGCCACTTCACATGAGGGTTCACCACCACGTTCCACCTCCAGGCCCCGACGATGGAGTCCAATAGGCGGCGGTCTCGCAGGGTCGCCAGCCCGCAGCGTGCTTCGAGAAGGCACTCGCTGCACGCGAGCGTCGGTTCCTCCTGGAGCCCGACCCCGCACTCGTGGCCCTGGGCGCCCTCGGAGAACGACTCTCTGGGCGGCCTTCTCCTTCGCGTACTCCCGTTTCTTCTGTTTCCCTCAGGCGTTCAGCCCCGCGGGTCCCCAGGGATCGAGGCAGACTGTGAGCGCTCGGTCCCCCTCGACCGCGTCCTCGAGGCGCTCCTCGAGGCGCTCCTCGTCTGCTTCTCCTCTTTCTCCTTCTCCCAGTGCTGGAAAGACTCCGCTGGGCTCCCTCTCCTTCCGCTTCTTCATCTTCATCTCCTTTGGCTCCTTGGAGGCGCTGTCCTGCGCTGGCTGCAGCTTCACCGGGTACGTAGTCCTTCGGCTTGAAGGGCGATGGCCGCAACTCCGTTCCCACCCGCGTCCCCTTCTTGCGGGCCGCGCCCCCCCCCCCAATCCGGTGCAGGCCGAAGCGGCCCCCACCGTCCTGGCTGCGCCTCCAACGGCGCAGCCTCTGGGCGGAGGCCCGTGCGTCCAGGTCAGAGCGCTCCTCCGGCAGCATCCGCTGCTCTTCCACGTCCATGCTGCGCCGCTCGGAGAGCTCCCGCCTCGGGGCCTCCCAGCCTGCGCATCTGCTCCTGCACGCTCCGCTCCACCGTCGAAGAGCTCCGCGACGAGCTCGGCGCCCTGTCCCAGGACTTCTTGCACGCCGATCTCCAGCGCTCCGAGCCTCGCTCCGAGCACTTGGCAGACGAGCTCCAAGGGGACCAGCGGTCTCATGCCGGAAGAGGGGCGGGAGGAGCGAGGGAGGAGCGCGGACGGGCGCGACAGCGGCAGCCGCGGGGGCGGGATCGGCAGCTGGAGCAGGGGCAGGGGCGGCAGCAGGAGCGGGAGGAGAGGCACTCACGTTTCTGGGAGACGCTCGGCGGGTGCGTAGGAGGAAGAGGAGGAGGAGGGGGAGGAGGAGGGGGAGGAGGAGGTGGAGGAGGAGGAGGAGGAGGAAGAGGAGGAGGTGGAGGAGGAGGATGAGGAGGAAGAGGAGGAGGAGGAGGAGGAGAAGGAGGAGGAGGGTGCTAGAAGGGTGCTAACGGTACGCCCAGTTCGGCCAGGGCCTGCCACACAGTGCGAGCACCACGGGCATGCGCCGAGGCACATGCTGCAGGGCCAGTGCCCAGCCAAACGAGGGGAGTCCAGCACGGCGACGAGAGACCTCCGAGAAGAGCCACACCCGAGGGCGACCGGAGCTTCGAGCGAGCACCAGCCGCGGCGAGAGGAGCCGAGAGCCCCGAGTGAGCCGGCCGCGCCGACGCGCAGGGCAGCCTCGGAAGCGGGCCGTCCGAATCCAGCTCTCCGATCGCCCTCGGCGGCGCGCGAAGATCACGGATGGCCTGCTCCAGGGCCACACCGATGGCGTCGGGGAAGTAGAGCGCATGACGCCGCCGCGCCTGGGCCGCCAGCTCGACCGTGGTAAGGGCGGAGGCGGGCAGGCACGAGGAGCCATCAGAAGCCGCCCGGCCCCGACCAGTGCTCTTGCCCTTGTCGTTGCCCCTGGAGCGGCCTGGCACCAGTGTTGGCCATTTCCGTGACCTTGAAGTCCTGAAAGTCTATGCCGTCCGCCCGCCACATCATGAGATTGTCTTCTTCGGGCTCCACGACCGCGCCTCGACTACCCAGGGCTGTGCTGTCAGCGAGTCGACCTCGCCATTCTTGTCCACAGTAGTGCCCGCCATCGGCGAGCCCTTCGCCGTCTGCGAGCCACTGTCCTCCTGCATGGCCGCGGCAGGGCTCGCTTCCATCTCCGCCATCTGCTTCTGATGTTGCTGCAGCGTCTCGCGCGGGGCCCAGCTGCCACTCCGACGGCGGATGCTGCGGACGCTGCAGTTCGTGAATATGTTTTTCGTCCGCGGTGCCACTTCAATCCACGCAGTGCTCGACCTGGGCCCTCGATGTCCTTCGTGGGACTTGCTACCTCGTGCTGATGTTCTTCCACACGAGCGCGAGGAAGTTGAGCCCCTGCGGCGCAGGCCTCCAAAGCACCCGCTCCTCGCGCATGTCCTTCGGCTCGGTCTCGGTGGCCTCCTCCTGGCCCGTGTCATGGAGGTCCTGCTGGTTCACCGCCAGGCCCGTGAACAGCTCCTTCCGATCATCCACCTGGGTCTCGGCTGCCTTCTCCTGCTGCTGGCCAGGATCCATTAAGCCCTGTTGCGGCGCCTGGTTCATTCACAGCAGTCCCCATCACCTCCGCCAAGGAAGGCCGGACGATCTCGAGCTCGCAGTCGAGGAGCTGACTCAGCATCAGCAGCTCCTGCTCCTGGTTCTTGAGGCACTGCTCGCCCGAGAGGTCGGACGAGATGCGCCTCTCCTCCCTTCTCCCGCTCGAACTTCACCCTGTTGCATTGGCTATCCGTCTCGGTGAGCAGCTGGTGGCAACTCGGAGACGAGCCCGATGCTGTACTCGGGTGGGTCTCCTGTGCTTCGACAGCGCCTGCGGGCCATCCGAGGTCTGGCCGACACCACTGCTGCC